CATAAAAGCCTGATGTATGAAATGTGATACTCAACAAAAACACATATGCTATATATACGGACTAGTTATTTCATATGTCAGGCTTTACAAGCGTTGCTTTGACATTCAATAAATGGCTATCATCTGAAACTACAACTATTAGAACTTTTTACTGATCTACTGTAAATACAATAATGATCGTTCAACGGACTGATATTTCTTACCGTCACTCATGGGAATGCTGTAGATATCAGAATGCTCTTCTAGAGAGTTTGGGGAAATTATTTATTAAACAGCACTTTGAAATACTTTATTCTGATTGGTCAGTTGTGCCATCCAATCGTCTGATATGTCCTAATATTCACCGTCGTCCATAGCAAAGGTTTCTTATTATTGAAGGCACATATAAAGGTAAAATTATAAAATAATCTTCTCTCAAATCAGTATTTCATACATGACTACACATTGCCCCTTACATATGCATACGAAGAACCTATTTCAATTCATGTAAATGGTTTTCAAATTGTATGCAATAAGGAGCACAGTTAGCCAACAATTACTTTAGCGGGATTTAAAATGGCAATGTGGCCAGAGGCTGTACGCTCTTCAGTAGAGTGTTTAAGTGCTCTAATGGTGGGGATCCTTTCATTCTCTTTTTTCTCTCTATGACTGACAGAGGGCAAAAAGACTGTAGGGGTCTTGGCCCTGCTTCCATTTGAGAACGACTATTTGTTTTCTCTTCACAATCTGCCAAGGGATCATCTTAGTGTTTCCTCCTACAAATACAGATGACTTTGGAAATGTTTTTTTTTTCTTCTATCAGCATTGAACTATTAGCCTCAGTACAGCTACATATGGCATGCCTTCATTTCTTTGTGTCTGTTTTGATTTTGAATGTAGACATCTTGAAAAGCAAGCATGATCCGAAAGTGACCTCTAAATGTGTTTTTCAGAGCGTTTCAGTCTTGGGCTGGTAAAAGGCACATCTGGGATTTTGCCAAATGAGACGTGATTCCCAACTCGTTTTACCGTTCTTAATAAGTAAAACTGGATATTCAATGCAAAATAAATAAATAGGACAGGATTTAAAGGGATAGTTCACCCAAAAATGAAAAGTTGATGTTTATCTGCTTACCCCCAGGGCATCCAAGATGTAGGTGACTTTGCTTCTTCAGTAGAACACAAACGAAGATTTTTAACTCAAACCATTGCAGGCTGTCTTATAATGGCAGTTAATGGGCTCCATGGCTTTGAGAGTAAAAAAAAACATACACAGACAAAACCAAATTAAACCCTGCGGCTCGTGGTGATACATTTAGGTCTTAAGACATGAAACGATCGGTCTGTGCAAGAAACTGAACAGTATTGATATAATTTTTTTACCTCTGATCCACCGCAATGTCCAACTGTCCTGAGCGCGTTCACAACACCCGGCGCGTGACGTCAAATAAATACGGTTTGGAAAAAAATTCCACGTTCTCTGATGATATATCAAAATAGTCTTCCATTGTGATGAACTGTACTTCTAAATATCTTTAGATCATCGCAGTGCCAGTGAACACGTCCGCAATCTCTCTGCACTGTGTAAACAATGAGTGACGTATACGCGCAACAGATAGCTTCCGCACATGCGTCTACTATCATAGATATGTATAGATTCCCTATTCGACCGCTCCAGATACGTTGACGCATCCGCCATTTTGGAACGTATCGCGGCCCATAGAAACAGTCACTAATGAGTCATCTACTTATATATATCTATGTCTACTATGCCAGAGCACGTACACGCGTCATGCACGGATGTTGTGAACGCACTCAGACATTGCGGTGGATCAGAGGTAAAAAATAAAAACTGTTCAGTTTCTTGCACAGACCGATCGTTTCGTGTCTTAAGACTTCAATGTATCACCACGAGCCGCAGGGTTTAATTTGGTTTTGTCTGTATATGTTTTTTTTACTCTCAAAGCCGTGGAGCCCATTGACTGCCATTATAAGACTGATAGACTGCAACAGTTTGAGTTAAAAATCTTCGTTTGTGTTATACTGAAGAAACAAAGTCACCCACATCTTGGATGCCCTGGGGGTAAGCAGATAAACATCAAATTTAAATTTTTGGGGGAACTATCGCTTTAATTTTATCCATCAGAAACGGATTGGATCATGAAAAGTGGGCGTTATACAGTAGCAATACAGGTTAAGAAAATTTAGTAATGTCAGCCAAAGAACAGTTTCGGAGGCAAAGCTAGTTTCCTACGCTTTTATGAAATGTTACACAAACAAATGCTCGAGATATTGTCTTGTGTTGACCCAGGAACGGTACATTTTAATTAGAAGCACTAACTATATTATGCAGCCGTTATGAGCCATTTTTATAACCTGCATTATGCATTGCAGCAATAATTAAGATAAGGAAAACCACAACGAACCAAACTAAAATGAATCTCACAAATCCACAACAGGATTGCATTCAGAATCTTGATGTTCTTTGTATTGTATGATGTGAAGCATGCAGTAGTGTAGTATAAGTGTTAGGGCTGTAGGTTTTAGTTATTTGGTCACTGGCTGTGATAACCCACAGTGGCAGCTTGCTAGTGGCCCCTTGATAGCCATTCTGAAAGCTGGATAATGATGACCCCCCCACACCATGAGTCTTGAAGACAGGAAAATCTCCCTGAGACAGAGGGATGCACATGGAGACAAAGCCTTTCTGTCAATTACTGCAAACTTACAAGAGGAATGAAACACCTGCTGCTGCTTTTCAGTGATTACGTTTCATTTTCATGCGATGCCAAGGCTGGAGTAATTGTTGTCCACTGAGACAAAATAAAGCTGGTTAATATGTTTCTCTATCTGGACTCCAGACCCTTTCCTTCAATACAGTGGAAGTTAATCCACCTTGGGTGAATGATGCTCAAGGTCGTGGCAGGGGCTGCTCTCTCTATTTAGTATCAGAGAAACACTGAATTTGTCTTTATCAGGCTAATGCAGAGCTGCAGTTTCCAGCTCTCCAGTGATGCAGTGTTTCATGAAAAGTTTAAAGCTTAACACACTGGACATTTTGAGATATTAAGTGTGTAATTATCTTAAAGCTTACGTTAAGAAAAATAGTCCACTACAATGTACAAAAGAATTGGCTCAGCAACATATTACAGTCATATTAATACTGAAGTCTCATGAGGTGATTTTCACTTTATTCATTAACTAAGATGCAAAAAGTGAAATCTTGGATTTCGTCTGATGGCGAACGGGTTCATGTGGAATCAAGCATGCCATAAACCATTTCCCAAACACACCTTCAGTCTGGCATTAGTTGAAAAAGATAGACCCGCCGCCAACCCACACCCTTGGAGTCCAACAGAGTCCCCCCACTTTTTCAGAGGCCTTGGTTACGAAAGTATTTTTCCCACAGGGAATTTTTAAAAAGTCTTTGTTAAAGAGTTGCAAGCTAAGAACCAAACCAACCAAGGTGAATCACAACATTACAAAAAAGTATTTGAGAACCGGACAAAACGACAAAGGTACAAACTGTGTGCTTAAAATCTTTGACATAAAATTTAAAAAATGATGGATAAATATAAAAATGTTTTTACATTCGCTTGTTTTCAAATGTCTGATTGCTGATTTCTTTACAGAATCATGTGTAATTTTTCCACCAGGATTGCGGTTAAAAAATAAAGTGAAAATGCGGATAGACGGCTTCCACAAAAGAATATACAGTTGATTAACAATCTTGTAGCACACAACAGGTCTGTCTTTGATGGTTTATAAGTTATCTTTAAGAATCAATCAAAATGAATGGGACTTTTACTCCTGGAACCCAGCTGTTGCAGTCTGTTGGTTGAGCCAATGTTGCTGTACTGGGATGATTGTGATTCAACGACGATATTTCGATAGCTCCACCACAGAGCCACAGCGATTACACATTTCAAAGAAATCAACATTTAAACGGCCAATAATTGTCACTGCATATTAAGCTGGAATAAAAAGTATTTCAACATTATGATACTTCAGCTTTTAAATACCACAGTTACAGTGCTGCTGAAGCAGTTTGTAGGTCAAAAGAAGAGATCTCATATGATATAATAATTTTTAAACCATAAAGAAGCTCTTCTGTTGTGACATATCCTTAACCACCAGGATTCCGAGATTCTCTAAAAATAGACTCCTCTGCATTGTATTGACTAGTGCAGCTCTCCTACACATATCATTAGATAACACGTCTGAGACAAATCTTTCTGCTCTCACCCTTCTCATCTTGATCCTTCCCTCATAATGACTCATTCTCACTGAAATGAAGTTGGCATGTGGAGACTCGTGCAGACTATTCAGAACGCACATTTTTAGAATGTCAGAAATCAAATAACGACTCAATGGTTTGTTCTTCAAAGCTATTAGGTTCAAACTCTGCAATGCTAAGGAGTTTAACAAGAAAAAACTGGTGAAATCACTGCAGCATCAGGAAGGGCTATGTAAGAAAACACCAGAACCTAATTGGATGTAATCGCCAGGTGCAGGCAGCCAGACAACAAGTGATGAGGGCATCTGAGCTGCGCCACGTCTGAGTCTCAGTATTCTCCCAGCTCCTGCAGAGCTCAGCCTTCTAATGAGAAGAGGAGGACAGGCTGAGGAAGTGGTAATTGGATCCTCCCTGTCCTGTCGCCTGGGCATGTGTGGCGATGTGGCTGTGCTTTATTTAGATCCTCTAGGCAAACAGTCTCAGTTCTCCACTTGCCAGCACCGACTGCAGAGCTCATGAGAACAAACCGGTCCTGCCCATCTTGAGCTCATTCATTGGAGAACAGAAGTTTGCTCTCTGCAACTGCATGCAGCAGCTATGACATTATATTATGGACTAATGAGGCTGTGGTGACATGCTAATTAAAGCAGGCTGTCTGCACAATTTGTTTGGGATTCGTCTACTTTTGATGATCATGTAAACAACTACCTTAAATATACTTTTAATCACTGTTTACTTACACAACCAGACGACATGGAATAAACGCAAGCAGCAGGCCATTAAGAAAAAATAGGGTATTTATTTTATGTCAATGTGCTAGCAGATGTATCTCACAAGTGCTTCATATTGTGGTAAATTCAAGTGAAAACAAATAAAAAGGTTGTGTGCTGTTCTCCAGTGTGAGTGTGTGTCACACTCGGTGTGTCCTGCAAGTTTGTGTGCGTCCAGCTGCCAAACTCTGTTCTGGAGAACATCAGTATGATTGACACTCTGGGGAACCTAGGGAGGATTACAGAAGAGAAGATCAGCCAAAGCACATAGAGGCAGACTGTGTAGGTTAGGCTGGTTATTCTGCATGTATGTCATGCTTTAATATGAGGTAGGGCTGGGCGATTTTCCCGATTTTATAGATTAATTTGAATTTATTGTTTTGCCATGATTTTATTTTTTAGAAATCGAGGAATCACGATTTTGAATAGAAATATTACCAAATGTTAGCATTAGACACTTTGACAATATGCCGGGGATAACAGTAAAGAGAAAAGAATGATCCAACCGCATGTCGGCGCACGTGATTAACCACTCACGTGTGACATGCTCTGTGAAGGACCATAATTTTAGCGCTAGGCGTCATTCACACAGAATGCACTCTTGTGTTGACAAAGATGTGACGCAGGCAGTGGAATAGGTAAAACATGCAAGAAGATGGGAGTGAACTTCTTTTAACTTGAGTGCAGTGTTTTTAGAATGGCGTTTCAAGCATGAGACACTGCAAGAGACGCGAGTGCAACAGTCAAACACATCCATGTTTACACAGAAAAAACCATGGAAAAGCAGCGCAATCAAATAAAAAACCTGTAAAGAACTACTACTGTATGTCTGATATTTCATGTTTGCATCATGGTGATAAGCTGAAAGCTGCTGTTATTTTTAAAGAACATTTATAGTTAATAAAAGTCTACTTGTGTTATACCTTCAGTCATTTTGAATTTGAATTACCTTGACTTTTGAGATTTTCTAAAATAATTTTCCTCGTATTATTTCTGAACATAATATGTATAAGACAAGTTTGTACAATATGTAGTTGTAGTTTTTGCATCTTTTCTGCAAAGATATTTAACAAGTGATTTGTTTAACATTTACATCATGTTGACAACTTCATGTGTGCTGCACTTGGAATAGAATTTTCTTTAACTAGAGGGTTAATAAAGAAAAAGTAACTTGACTCATGTTGTAGTTACATTTTCAAGTTGACTAGTTAAAAATCGTAAAAAAAAAATAAAATAGAGAATCAGTCAAACATTCTGGAAAAATCGAGATTTAAATTTTTTGCTAAATTGCCCAGCCCCTATATGAGGCTTATCAAATTTTGAAATACTGTATAACGTAGAGAGTGTGTCCAAGACATGAAAAATACTGTCTAATTAGGTTTTCATAACATTGTCTTCTGAGATGCCTTTTTGATGCATTACATTTTAATTTATAAGCTATACATTTTAGAAATAATTCATAAATTATTTTAGAAATAATTTATGAATGTATTTTTTTCCAACTTAAGATTGTATTTGTACAAAAATTATTGGGAATTATGCATGTTACACATTTTGGGGGGAATAAGCAAGGTTATGTGGTATTTTTTACATGCATAATATACCATAATACCTGAGCTACTTTTTAAGTACTCTTCTTCCTTACCCATAACGCAGTCAAGGCTTGCCCATTGTGTTCAACGAAGTGTCAACACTGCAAGCGGGTGGCATGACGCAAAGCAACAAAACTAGGCCACCCCCATTATAATCAATGAAGCTGTCTACACTGCAAGACTGTCAGAAGGACAGTTTTTTTTTTTACACCACTTTGAATGTAAAAAAAAACAAGCCAAGCTCAGCATCAACGTTTTGGAAGAGGAGGAGTCTCGGCCAACTGATAACAGAAAACATTACAGCTCAAAGATAAGCTCAAAAGTAACTAATAGTTTAATTCCTTAAAAAGTCAAAATGCAACAATTAATTACTTTCTATTAGAAGTATTTAAATATGCTTTTAAAAGTAATGTTCCTCCAACATAAATTACAGTATTTAAAGGAGAAGTGTATCATTTGATGCTTTATATAATTATGACATCAAACTAATAATGACAAATATTAATATTTTTAAAGTTTACTCATTGTTTGGAAAAAATTATGGTTCTGCCCACTGGTTGAGCCACTGCTATGTCAGGCTGGGTTGCATTTCCCAGAAGCAGCGTTAATTTTGTATTGTTTAAATACTCTTATAGCATTTATAATTTTTTGTTGTTATTTTAATTTGTTTTAGTCATTTTGTTAAGTGCGTTTTTTATTTCAGTTAACTTCATTTTTAAAGTTAATTTTTTTTCATTTAATATTTATTTTCTATTTTATTTCTGCTTTATTTCAGTTAATGAAAACCATGTTTAATAGTTTTAGTTTTCTGTTAACAATAACAACACTGCCCAGAAGCATTGTGAGCCTAATTGTTCATACAGATCATTGGTGCCACTGATTTCTAGAGTCTACTTAGGTTCACAATGCTTTTTGGAAATGCAGCCCTGGTCGAGATGCTCAAACAAACAGAGCAATATTTTGATAGTCACGGTGTCTTCAGGGGAATCAGCCAACTAGCAGCTTACTTATAGATGACGTTGCATATTAAACTGGGATAGGAAAAAATATTTTACCATGAGAACATTTTTTTGCTTAAGAGTTACCTTCAGCACTTGACAGCACGTGTCTTTTATCAGACAACCCCATTATGTAGAAGGTAGCATTAATATAGAGGCAGCAATGAGGTCATGTCATTGAGTCAGAACATCCTGCAATCCCAGCATACCTGGGGTGTGCCGAAGAGACAAAGGGAGTGGACATAGCAGAACAGCAGGACACAGATGTAGCCCCTCCAGGAGGTACACACTCACTCTCTCTGCCTCTCTATCCATCTTTGACTCCAGCTGAGATCTGAAAGGTGAGGAGAGGCCAAGGAGGAAGGATCACGAGAAAGGCATCTCCCATCTCTGAGTGTGTGCTGACTGTTCACATGGGCTGATCACCAGCATTTTACTGCTCTCAATGCCGTCCAGAGCCATCTCGCTGTCCACGCAGAAACGAGATGCCAGGTGCTCCAGGTGAGTGCCAGATTTCTGCCAACGCTGCAGTAACACGGGAGACATGAACACATGCATAAGTGCACAGTAGCTGTGGACAGCATAAAATATTCTTGCATATAATGTATAGTACACATTCATACTTCCCATTTATCTACTTATATGTACGCCTCCCTGCACAACAAACAAAGCGAATGTTTTCTGATGCTACAGTATGCTGCATGTCCCTGACACTGACATGACAAATGTGACGTGTGGAAATGCTGACATCAGCCTGAGAGTAAAGCTTCTCCTGAGGGGCTGTCTAACGCTGGGACTGATACTCATAGAGCTGATGTCAGTGGGTTCCTCCGGTAGCTTTCTAAGTGCGGCCTGATTTGGTCTGTCACAGATGTCTCCCACGTTCTCGTTGGGAGTGACTGCAGTGGGGGTACCTGCTTGCCGTCACTGATGTTGTATGGCACGAGCAGTATCTGGGAGGCAGGGAAAGTGGTGGAGACGGACAGACAGTGTTGCTGCTGGCGGATTTGCTGTCCATGGGTGTAGATCCACTCCTGTGTCGGAAAGAATGTAGGCTTTTCTGAAGCTGATCCAACGTATAATGAAATGAAAAAGCAATAGCAATTCCCTTTCTAGACAATTACACAGATTTCAATGGAGTGCATGTCTTTGCTGTAAATACAAAGATCTTACAGATGATTTAAAGGAATAGTTCACCCAAAAATTACAATTTGCTTACTCTCAGGACATCCAATATGTAGATGAGTAAAAATGACTTAATGATGGATTTGATTTTTACATGCAGCTTTACGCTTCACAAGATGTTAATTGACGGACTGGAGTCATGTGGATTATTGTGATGTTTTTATCAACGGTTTGGACTCTCATTCTGATGGCACCCATTCACTGCAGAAGATTCACTGGTGAGGAAGTGATATCATGGTAAAAACTCTGAATCTGTTCCGATGAAGAAACAAACTCTTCTACATATAGGGTGGCAAATATAGAATAGTAAATTTTCAGCAAATTGCCATTTTTAGGTGAATGATTCCTTTAAATGTTATGTGACACATTGGACTGATACCAAATAAACCTTTAAAATGGAAAACTAAATCAGAATCAGAAGGAGCTTTATTGCCAGGTATGTTTACACATACAAGGAATTTGTTTTGGTGACAGAAGCTTCCACAGCACAAACAGAAGGACAGTGACAAGACACAGATAATAAAATGAATAAAGTAGTTTAAGTAAATAGGAAATAACAATATACAAAAAAATATATAAAAAATACACAATATACAATGTAGACAATAGATGGTATTGGTGTGTTCAGGTGTGTTATGTACAAATGCAAGGAAATGTAAATACATAGGAGGTATGTGTGTTAAATAAATGTATAAATAGTGTTGTGTATTACACGTTTATTGCCAAGTTAACTGTTTATGAGATAGACTGCCTGAGGGAAGAAACTGTTCTTATACCTGGCCATTCTGGTGCTCAGTGCTCTGTAGCGCCAACCAGATGGCAACAGTTCAAAGAGGAAGTGGGCTGAGTGTGAGAGGTCCAGAATGATTTTGCCAGCTCTTTTACTCACTCTGAATGAGTGCAGTTCTTGGAGAGTGGAGAGGGTTGTACCTGTGATTCGCTCAGCAGTCCGGACTATCCGCTGCAATCTTCTAAGGTCTGATTTGGTAGCTGAGCTGAACCAGACAGTTATAGAAGTGCAGAGGACGGATTCAATGACTGCAGAGTATAACTGTATCAGCAGCTCCTGTGGCAGGTTGAACTTCCTCAGCTGGCAAAGGAAGTACAGCCTCTGCTAGACCTTCTTGACAATGGAGTCTATGTGAAACTCCCACTTCAGGAGCTTGACAGAGGGGTCTTTAGAGGTGCAGTCATTGGTGTAGAGGGAGAAGAGCAGTGGGGAAAGCACACATCCCTGGGGGTCGCCAGTGCTGATGGTGCAGGTGCTGGATGAGAATTTTCCCAGGCTCACTAGCTGATGCCTGTCTGTCAGGAAGCTGGTGATCCACTGACAGATGGAGGTGGGCACAGAGAGCTGGGTTAATTTGGACAGGAGGAGCTTTGGGATGATAGTGTTAAAGGCTGAGCTGAAGTCCACAAACAGGACCCTCACATAAGTCCCTGGTCTGTCCAGATGTTGTAGGATATAATGCAATCCCATGTTGACTGCATCATCCACATACCTGTTTGCTCGGTATGCAAACTGCAGGGGGTCCAGTTACGTCCTTCAGGTGGGCAAGCACCAGTCTTTCAAATTACTTCATGACCACAGATATTAAAGCCACAGGTAATCATTTAGTCCTATAATTTTGGGTTTCTTTGGGATGGGGATGATGGTGGAGCATTTGAAGCAGGAAGGGACTTTGCACTGCTCCAGTGATCTGTTGAAGTTCTGTGTGAAGATGGGGGCCAGCTGGTCAGCTTAGGTTTTTAGACAGGCTGGTGTAACACCTTCTAGGCCTGGTGCTTTCTTTCTCTTCTGTTAAATAAACATCTTCTAGTTTTAAAGTCATATTTGTTCATTAATTTGCAATTACCTTTAAAAAAATCCATCTTTCATAGGTTTGCATTAACATTACATTTGTGCATTTAGCAGATGCTTAACCAAAGCTATTTACAATAGAGGAACATAAGCAATTCATCACAGAGCCGACAATATCCATAGTATACAGTCATATTTATTAGAAAACTAGATTAGGAAACAAGCTAGAGCATTCACTTGTTCATTTAAAGATGTCTGTTCTAATATGCCAGCTCTACTTAAATGGTAAACAGAGAAAGAGATGTTAGAAGAAAATAGTAACTTTTTGCTTTCCTTCAAGAAGGTGGTCTCATTTGCTGTTCTGAGACACGTATAGGAAGAGAATGACGCATGAGGGCATGTGTTTTTGTAAGCCATGCTGATGAACTGCTTCCCATCTGGTGAGTCTTACAGACGCTTAACGTATAATGAAATGAAAAAGCAATAGCAATTCCCTTTCTAGACAATTACACAGATTTCAATGGAGTGCATGTCTTTGCTGTAAATACAAAGATCTTACAGATGATTTAAAGGAATAGTTCACCCAAAAATTACAATTTGCTTACTCTCAGGACATCCAATATGTAGATGAGTAAAAATGACTTAATGATGGATTTGATTTTTACATGCAGCTTTACGCTTCACAAGATGTTAATTGACGGACTGGAGTCATGTGGATTATTGTGATGTTTTTATCAACGGTTTGGACTCTCATTCTGATGGCACCCATTCACTGCAGAAGATTCACTGGTGAGGAAGTGATATCATGGTAAAAACTCAGAATCTGTTCCGATGAAGAAACAAACTCTTCTACATATAGGGTGGCAAATATAGAATAGTAAATTTTCAGCAAATTGCCATTTTTAGGTGAATGATTCCTTTAAATGTTATGTGACACATTGGACTGATACCAAATAAACCTTAAAATGGAAAACTAAATCAGAATCAGAAGGAGCTTTATTGCCAGGTATGTTTACACATACAAGGAATTTGTTTTGGTGACAGAAGCTTCCACAGCACAAACAGAAGGACAGTGACAAGACACAGATAATAAAATGAATAAAGTAGTTTAAGTAAATAGGAAATAACAATATACAAAAAAATATATAAAAAATACACAATATACAATGTAGACAATAGATGGTATTGGTGTGTTCAGGTGTGTTATGTACAAATGCAAGGAAATGTAAATACATAGGAGGTATGTGTGTTAAATAAATGTATAAATAGTGTTGTGTATTACACGTTTATTGCCAAGTTAACTGTTTATGAGATAGACTGCCTGAGGGAAGAAACTGTTCTTATACCTGGCCATTCTGGTGCTCAGTGCTCTGTAGCGCCAACCAGATGGCAACAGTTCAAAGAGGAAGTGGGCTGAGTGTGAGAGGTCCAGAATGATTTTGCCAGCTCTTTTACTCACTCTGAATGAGTGCAGTTCTTGGAGAGTGGAGAGGGTTGTACCTGTGATTCGCTCAGCAGTCCGGACTATCCGCTGCAATCTTCTAAGGTCTGATTTGGTAGCTGAGCTGAACCAGACAGTTATAGAAGTGCAGAGGACGGATTCAATGACTGCAGAGTATAACTGTATCAGCAGCTCCTGTGGCAGGTTGAACTTCCTCAGCTGGCAAAGGAAGTACAGCCTCTGCTAGACCTTCTTGACAATGGAGTCTATGTGAAACTCCCACTTCAGGAGCTTGACAGAGGGGTCTTTAGAGGTGCAGTCATTGGTGTAGAGGGAGAAGAGCAGTGGGGAAAGCACACATCCCTGGGGGTCGCCAGTGCTGATGGTGCAGGTGCTGGATGAGAATTTTCCCAGGCTCACTAGCTGATGCCTGTCTGTCAGGAAGCTGGTGATCCACTGACAGATGGAGGTGGGCACAGAGAGCTGGGTTAATTTGGACAGGAGGAGCTTTGGGATGATAGTGTTAAAGGCTGAGCTGAAGTCCACAAACAGGACCCTCACATAAGTCCCTGGTCTGTCCAGATGTTGTAGGATATAATGCAATCCCATGTTGACTGCATCATCCACATACCTGTTTGCTCGGTATGCAAACTGCAGGGGGTCCAGTTACGTCCTTCAGGTGGGCAAGCACCAGTCTTTCAAATTACTTCATGACCACAGATATTAAAGCCACAGGTAATCATTTAGTCCTATAATTTTGGGTTTCTTTGGGATGGGGATGATGGTGGAGCATTTGAAGCAGGAAGGGACTTTGCACTGCTCCAGTGATCTGTTGAAGTTCTGTGTGAAGATGGGGGCCAGCTGGTCAGCTTAGGTTTTTAGACAGGCTGGTGTAACACCTTCTAGGCCTGGTGCTTTCTTTCTCTTCTGTTAAATAAACATCTTCTAGTTTTAAAGTCATATTTGTTCATTAATTTGCAATTACCTTTAAAAAAATCCATCTTTCATAGGTTTGCATTAACATTACATTTGTGCATTTAGCAGATGCTTAACCAAAGCTATTTACAATAGAGGAACATAAGCAATTCATCACAGAGCCGACAATATCCATAGTATACAGTCATATTTATTAGAAAACTAGATTAGGAAACAAGCTAGAGCATTCACTTGTTCATTTAAAGATGTCTGTTCTAATATGCCAGCTCTACTTAAATGGTAAACAGAGAAAGAGATGTTAGAAGAAAATAGTAACTTTTTGCTTTCCTTCAAGAAGGTGGTCTCATTTGCTGTTCTGAGACACGTATAGGAAGAGAATGACGCATGAGGGCATGTGTTTTTGTAAGCCATGCTGATGAACTGCTTCCCATCTGGTGAGTCTTACAGACGCTTAACAAGGTCATGCACAGCAGGCAGCAGGGAAACATGCTCTTGTGGTGTTATGAACACACTTAAGTGCTCTGAAATAACTTTTGTGCTGTTCTGGCCCCAAATCTACTGTCTACCAGCATCTCTAGGTTTCATAATTTAGAGAACAAACATCTGTATAATGCAACTTTTTACAGTGCACAGAGAAACAAGAGTCTCTACTCAGTTAAATAAATGATGTTTTATTAACAAAGTTGGGTGGATCATGTTCAGATAATCAACTAATTCAGCACAGGTGGAGCACGTTCAGATAATCAACTTATTAAGCATGATAGTAAATACAGATGCATCTCAATAAATTAGAATGCCGTGGAAAAGTTCATTTATTTCAGTAATTCAACTCAAATTGTGATACCCATAGAGAATCTATGTGGTATTGTCAAGAGGAAGATGAGAGACACCAGACCCAACAATGCAGATGAGCTGAAGGCCACTGTCACAGAAACCTGGGCTTCCATACCACCCCAGTAGTGCCACAAACTGATTGCCTCCATGCCACGCCGGACTGATGCAGTAATTCATACAAAAGGAGCCCCTACCATGTACAGTAAATGAACATACTTTCCAGAAGGCCAACAATTCACTAAAAATGTTTTTTTTATTGGTCTTATGAAGTATTCTAATTTGTTGAGATAGTGAATTGGTGGGTTTGTGTTAAATGTGAGCCAAAATCATCACAATTAAAAGAACCAAAGACTTAAACTACTTCAGTCTGTGTGCATTGAATTTATTTAATACACAAGTTTCACAATTTGAGTTGAATTACTGAAATAAATGAACTTTTCCACGACATTCTAATTGATTGAGATGCACCTGTATATACAGCCAACTTACCTCTGTCCCACAACAATTTTTCTTGCATCCCTCCTCCACCCCAACTATTCTTTTCCCAGCTTGGGGATATGGTGAGTTTTCTGGGTTTGGGCTAAATTCCGAGCTCGGAGCCCTCCCATCGGACAGCATGCCAAATATGCTTACTATTTGCTCAATCTGATTATATCCAAGTGCAAACTCGTGAAACAGTTTCTGAGTAGAATGAAGGTCTAAGGCTTTATGACTAGTAGTAGGTGGCTTTGGATGAACCATATTTTCAGTTTAAGAATTGGATCCCTTTGAATTTTTGAGCTGGAGTTTATGTCGTTTTTCCCATCATGGTCCATAAAATGAAAATAATAATAAAAAATTAAATTAAATTAAATAAATATAATAAAAATGAAAATATATTTAAACATCAAACATTGATTATAATTTATAGACTTTATAGTTCATTTTAAAACACCCCATACATTGTTTATTGATAATTCCTAGGTGCAAAACTGAATAGTTATATTTCTACTGAACAGTTTTACTATTTCTTTAAATTCAAATTTAAATTCTGTATTCTGTTTGTTAGCTCAATTAAAATCTAGCAATTGAATGGACTTTAATAGCCATTCTTGATTCAATTCTGAATGACGCACAATTGTGTTTTTCTTCTAGGCTCATGCGCAGGTGAGGGAGCCATGAAGGGTGACAGTAGGGCAGATTAGCTGCTCAGAGACCAGAGGGCACCTCTTTGTTTAATATAACTACACTATAACTACACAGCAGTGCACAAATGTGACCTGAATTAAATCCCATTACCCCGCTGTAAAAGCTGCCCTTTCAACATGCCACTGGTTGCATAGCATTTAATGTAATCTAGCATCTCAGAGTCGCAGCCTAACCGTGTGAGATGTCACTGATTCCTGGTGTGAGAGTAAAAATACACACTACCTTTGCTCCTCCTCTGATCTTCACCAAACTGTTCAGTAGAATATGTGAGCACAGTGCTTAAGGCAATATATTCTCTAAATGGTTATAATTGGACATCTATGGTGTAAGTTTTGTGAATGCAAAATAGGCATGGATAATGCAGCCAGTTCTAGTTTTCCAGCAATAGTACCTTAAATACATTAAATGATATGGAAAAACAAAGCTGATCAATTAACGCTTCAAGCATGGCTTTTCTGATATTATGCTAGAGAGATTTTACCTGGTTGGCTGCTGGTACGTCTTTGGTGATGCTGCAGGGTGCAAGTGTGAGCACTGGGAGATCCTGACCCTTAACTATACGAGACTCTAGACAGTTCTGTCTTTGCCGGATCACACCAGACTTAGCATCTGAATCATCAGGAACTCTGGATTCGTTGAATGAAACACCAAAGTGTTATGATAATAAATACCCCACAGAAAAGAATGGGAAAAAATTACAAATTAGGTCCTTAAATATCTCAATTGTTTCTCCTAGGAAGCAAAGGGTAGCAAATTATAAAAAATAGCTTAAAGGGGTCATCGGATGCACATTTTCCACAAGTTGATATGATTCTTTAGGGTCTTAATGAAAAGTCTATAACATACTTTGGTTAAAATTTCTCAATGGTAGTGTAAAAAACAACCATTTTTACCCTGTCAAAATCAGCTCTGTTTTCAGCATGCGGTTCTAGCCCATGTTGCTTTAAATGCTAATGAGCTCTGCTGACCCCGCCCCCCTCTTCCATGGGTGACAAGCCGTTCTCATGATACTGTTTACTTTAGCCACGGAACTTGCTAACTAGCACGTTATTAGGAAAGGTGATTTGCAAAGATTCATAAAAAACCCTTATACTCAGCTGGATCACGAATGATTCGTGCGAACATAGACGCATTTAGGCAGATCGGGGATCGGCGCATTCACTTCAAAAACGAAAGTAACGTTAATCTTCTGCGTCTTTAGTGGCTCAGATGTCTGGAGTAAATGACGACTGCTATATTCATTATTACATCCAACAACAAAACACCTCAATCGCTTAATCGGAGACATTCTTGTCTTCCCCTGCACCAGAGTCGACACAATGGTCTAAGGTAAGACACCAGTCCAGTCTGTGCTGAAACGCTACTGTCAATCAACTATCGTGGGAGGGGCCTGTACAGAACTACGTCATTCTGACAGGAATCTCAGAACAGCCTGATTTGAGAAAGGGGATTTAAAAAAAAAAATTATATAGGGGATAATAATAAAAACCACTGAGTGGATTTTTATTATTATAGGGTAGATGTACACACACTTCCAACACACATTTATGTTCAAACAACAACAAAAGTGAATTTTGCATCCAATGACCCCTTTAATTCTCCTGACTTCATAGCAGACTTTGGCAAATCTGAACACAGTTTGGGACAATATTTCTCATCAAATACTCCCAAAACCAATTTATATGGTATACAGTATGTGATCCATGTTCAATTTATTTCTCTATACTCAATTTCAGCTCTCATTGGTGTCTATTTTTATTAAATGAAGCATAAAAATGAAGCATAAGGAATGTAATTGATCAAATGAAGGCCCAAATGAAACATAATTTTATTTTTTTTTAATAATTAAAGTTTAGTCTGACAGTTTCACATGTTTTCGCTAAAACGTCTGCAAAAGTGCATTAATATAGACTCATTTAGATGCCAAATTAATGAAAATGACATTAAAAAATTGTTGACCTTTAAGGACAAAAAGTACTGAAAGTATGTGAAATCTGCCAGTGGGTGGAAAATCTTTCCCTCAAGACAGATGAGAGCAACTAGTGTACAACAAAACAGCTTTAGACATAGAGGGGCCATATACTGCCATGCTAAATAATAACATGGCACTTTACAATCATCAGTCACCACTCGCAGACACTCAGATACACACACCACACTGACTCCTCAACTCACTTGAGCTCTGGATAGACATTGTCCAGATACCACTTGAAGGATTTGCACTTGAGACTCTTGCGGAGCACCTGCCTACCGTGAATGCTGATAAGAGAGGAAGAGAATGAGTGGAATAAGAGATGAATCTTCTCCCTGATGCCTCCCCATTATAGATACACACATAAACACACACATGCTATCAGTCACTTACTCTCCGTAGGATTTTCCCCTAGCAGCCGGGCGAGCTGAGTAGTAGAACAGTTTGAACTCATCCATCCAAACCTCAGCAGTTCTCCTGGTGTTTCTGAAACAGAAAGAGCACTGAATGTGAACATTGAAGTGTGCTATATGAAACACTTCACTCAAAGATACACACTTCAGCCTCAAGAAGATCATTAGGATGACCTGCCAATTCATCAGTACAGCTACTCAAAATATTGCTTGTACAGGCAGGTACTGAACAGACTTGCAACTGTAATTCTGAAGAAAATCTGAGTGAAAAACTCGCTGCCACATGCTAGGGTGTTGTGCGTGTTTGTCAGGGCATTGCTATGTGGTTTTTAGCACACTGCTATGCATTTGCAAGGGTGTTCTGGGTGGTTCATACTGGCTAAAGTCAAAATATCCTACATATGGCTCATGTCTCTCACCCGTAAGTGAGATTTATTTATTTATTTATTTTATACACATTAAAACTCCAATTGCTTAGAAAACTAACAGCACTTTTCTCCTCAACAAGCTACACAGTTGAAGCTATCATTCATGTCTATGGCACAAGCAGAGCAGTACGAATTACACGGCAAAGTGTAATACTAAGGGTTAGGGTTTATTGCAGTTACTGTGAATTTAATATTAAGGTATTTTATATTTTGCAAATAATTTTAAGTGGAGTAGTGGAATTATAAGTGGAGAAAAAAAATTCCATGTACAGGCAGATATTAGTATTTAAAAAGCCTTTATTTGCTTCAACATTAAAAGCACCTTTATATATTTTATATTTTATTTAGTTTTATGCAGTTATTAATTTAATTCAATTAATTTATTCATTTTTATTTAATCAATAATTTAAATATGAAATAAAGGCATTGAAACATTTAAAAATAAATAAAGTAGCTTACACTGATTTGCCCGTAGTACAAAGTGGTGGCATGATTGTTGCTGACAACTGTAGAAATGATATTCAGAGGGAGTGGTGATATATACATATCAAGAACTTGTTTCTGTATGAAAACTGGTCACATATTGCACATGGCTTGATTTGTCAAGACATCTTATTGCAGGTTATGCACAACAAACCACACAAGAACAAACCATATCTGATTGTTCCATATCTAACATAACTCTGCTAACAGACGTAAAAAAAGGACACAGTTTTTAAGAGTATCTAGTAAAGTCAACTAATGCCTTCAGCATTTATTCATTAGCGCCTCTGAACTATATGAGGAAACAGATTTTGTTGACTGAGCACACTGCATAGCAATTCAGATTCAGAAAGAATGTTGTGCTATGCCCTTAATATTTCATATGGTTTCATGCTGAGGTTTTTCCCCGGAGGCGAAACGTGATAAAAGCAAACAAATTTTACACAGCAGATTTTCTTCCAGGCAGAATTTGGAGTTTTAGCTCTATCTTTGGCACGAAAAATACTACAAATAACAGAAAAACATTCAACAGAGACAAAAATAAAAAAGATTAACATATTCATATTTACAGGTTAACAACCCCCAAGGACAAAACAAGGTCTTCTGATGTTGTTAAAAAGTGTTACATCCTTTATCAGCAGGAATATATTATTAAAAACTTAGCTGAATATGCTGGATATGAATTAATATTATAAGTATATGCACTTCTCAGGACACTTACTTTATGTAGGTGTTGGCATTGCCCTCTGGGAAGATGTAAGGATGTTTCTTGCGGAATACATGGCCGACCCTGCTACAGGGAATGATTTCTAGGCTTCCTCCACACATCCATACTCTAAAAGAAATCTCTACAAACACAACACAATAAACACCAATCACAGCGTGTTATACAGTATTTTAATAACATTATGGCCTTAGAGAGTATACACTACCGAAAGTTTTAAGTCTGTATGATTTATTTATTTACCAAGGCTGCATTTATTTGATCAAAAATAGAATAAATAAATACAGTTAGTAAATTTTCGACATTATTACAATTAATTTTTTTTAAATCTATTTAAATCTATTTAAAAATGTATTTATATGATGACAAAGCTGAATTTTCAGCGTCATTACTCCAGTTTTCAGTGTCACATGATCCTTCAGAAATCCTTCTAATATGCTGATTTGATGCTCAAGAAATATTTCTTATTAAGTACATTATCAATGTTGAACACAGTAGTATCACTTAATATTTTTGTGGAAACTGTGATACATTTCAAAAGAACAGCATTTATTTGAAATGGAAATCTTTTGTAACATTATAAATGTCTTTCCTGACACTTTTGATCAATTTAATGCATCATTGCTGAATAAAAGTATTCATTTCTTTAAAAAAAAAAAAACGTACTGACCTCAAACAGTATATTACATAAATTTATAAAATGCATGTCAATATTATGTCATGTAGAGTAAAATAACTTGCTGAAGTGTACATGTGATTTACAGTAGCCCTCCTGGATACAACTTCACTCTCACGGCAAGAATTAGAATATATAGTCTAAATATGCCACTGCCCAATGCTCATTTGCAATTATGAGCATAGCAGCCTATTTAAGTCTGAATAAACCAGCCCTGCAACAGCTCCAGTCTAATTCTGTCACATATGCATGGTTAATAATGGTTTACCCAGCACAGAGAGAACCATCTAATTCCCCATAGTGCATTCCTCTTAAGAATTTCACAGAGCCAAGAAAAAAACCTTTAAATAAAGTTAAATAAATAAAGGCACCAAAACATGTTTTGAGAAAATTGATTTTCTAAGTTCAAATGTCATTGCGTGCCATTTCCTCTCTGTGATGAGACAAACAGCTCCAGTCTAATTCTGTCACATATGCATGGTTAATAATGGTTTACCCAGCACAGAGAGAACCATCTAATTCCCCATAGTGCATTCCTCTTAAGAATTTCACCGAGCCAAGAAAAAAACCTTTAAATAAAGTTAAATAAAGGCACCAAAACATGTTTTGAGAAAATTGATTTTCTAAGTTCAAATGTCATTGCGTGCCATTTCCTCTCTGTGATGAGACAACAACCCTAAGTTTCCTCTGTCTGAGCTTGATCGGGGGAAAAGAGTGATTGAGGTTTACGTGCTGTCAGAAAGGTGCTCTCATGCATAGTAATAACTCACCAAAGTTCTCCCCTCCCCAGATGTCCATGGCTGTGTCATATTTTCCCAAGCGATTGAACCAGGATCTGTCAATCACAAAAAGTCCTCCTGCAATGATGGGCGTTCTGAGGGTTGAAAGAGTGAAAAAAGAGTGAACATTAAGTCTTGACACTAAACACTTCAATCCAGGTGACTGCTTAAAATACTGCTGTCACCCAGGATTGATGTACGAAAACATTTCCTCTTGAATGTGGTTTAGGTGAAGAGTCTTTGAACGAGGAAAGAGAATAAAAGGTCACTGAAGTGAGGGTGTGTGGAAACAGTACAGCTCAGTTCTCATTCTCCTGATGAAGCTCAGCTTGCCCTTCAAAATCACTGTACCCAGAGAACTGCTTCAAACACTAAGGACACTGGAGGAAATGGCTCTGGTATTATCGGAAGCATTTGAATTCCATCAGCAGTAATCTCTCATTGTGAAGAGGTAGAACACATTGTTTCATCTGCCACTCCACAGGGCCACTCATGTACTTTCATTTCAGATTCATTTACTTTTCACACATCTGTTCTCATCTCATTTTAGAAGGCAGAAACAATAAATAATGCAATAAAATTCATTTCTAGGAAAAAGGTATGCATACAATATATCAAATGTATATATTATTGCCAGGTTTAAAAGTATGTAGTAATCATCATCAGATTGCTTAGAAAAGCAATAGTGCACATCTCCTACATAATAGTGCACAAGTGGCATGACTGGAGTTGTCCTTAACACAAACATGTGGGAATGGTTATGAGTTTGAACAGATATTAATCCCAAGTATAAGCAATATTAATAGTGATAGTTATTATAGTGGAGTTTGAAAAAGCAATTATCATATGGGAGGCTCATATAGGAACTACTTTTAGTATCACCTAACCCACTATGGATTTTTAACACACCCCTGCTGCATTTACTCTACATACATACAGTACATTAGCATTCAAAAGTTAGTAAAGAAATTACTACTACTGCTTTTTGTAATGAGGGGTCAGAGGCGTGTGGATCTATTTGCAGCTTTTATTAGAATCAATGGCAGAGTCAAACAGGCAGTAATCAATCATCAGCGTCAGGAACAACAGGGACAATCCAGGAGAGTAAGCAGTAACAGAGCGAGGGTCGGGGCAGGCGGCAGAGAATCACACTAGTAAGAACAGTCCAAGGTAATACACAAGAGATCAAAAGAGAGGGGATAAAAGCTCAGAAATGTAGCCGTGGCAAAACAAGACTTTGCTAAAACTAAGAGTCTGGTAGCTGCTTAAATGGGGAAGCTAAGGGGAAACACCTGTGCCAGTAATCAGTCCCAGGTACGGGGTGTATGGGAAATGGAGTCCAAGAACGCTATTACTCAGGAGAGGGTGCCCTCCGGAGGTGGTCCCCCTGTGAGCTGCTCCTGAAGCGAGGTGCACGATGCCGAGGCCTTCCACGGGAGCGAGGGAATGGTTTGTGAGGGTGGGTTCTATGGAATTCAGCAGTGAGTGAAGGGTCCAGGATATCCTGAGCATTAACCCACGATCTTTCCTCAGGACCATACCCCTCCCAGTCAATGAGGTATTGAAGTAACCTGCCCCGGCATCGGGAGTCCAGGATTTCCTGTACCTGGTACGCCTCCTAGCAGTCCACGATGATGGGAGGGGGACTCTCGTTCACGGCCTCCTCCTTGTCCCTCTCTCCTCTCAGACAACCAGCGGGCTTAAGCAGAGAAAAATGAAAGGTGGGTGAGATACGATAACTTGAGGGAAGAGCCAAACGGTAAGATACAGGTGTGATTTGTCTAATGATTTTGATAAAATGATACCTGGGACTCAACTTCTTGCACGGGAGCCGAAGGCGAAGGTCTCTTGTGGAGAGCCAGACCCATTGTCCTGGGGTGTAAGCGGGACCTGACCTCCTGTGACGGTCGGCCTGTTCCTTGACCCTGCGGATGGCCCGTTGGAGGTGTACATGAGCAGTATTCCATGTCTCTTTACTTCTTTGGAGCCAGTCGTTGATGGCAGGGAGCTCTGAGGGTTCTCCGGACCAGGGGAACAGGGGTGATTGGAAACAGAGTACACATTGAAAAGGTGTAAGGCCGGTGGATGGTTTGCAGAGAGAATTCTGTGCGTACTCCGCCCACAGGAAGAAGCGACTCCAGTCGTTCTGATTCTGATGGCAATAGGCACACAGAAAGCGGGTAAGCTCTTGGTTTAATCTCTCTACCTGGCCATTACTGTGGGTGGTATCCAGAGGTGAGACTGATGTTAATGTTGAGGTGTTGGCAGAACGTGGACCAAACTCGGGAAGTGAACTGAGGGCCACGATCCGAGACAATGTCCTCAGGGAGTCCGTAAAAACGGAAGACCTGTTCAAAGAGTATTTCTGCTGTTTCAAAGGCTGTGGGGAGTTTACTTAGGGGTATGAGACGGCATGCCTTGGAGAAACGATCAATGACTGTTAGGATGCTGGTATAGTTCCCTGAGCTGGGGAGATCAGTGACAAAGTCTATAGCTATGTGTGATCTGGGCCTCTGCAATTTCTGTCATAATGTCCCATTGGATAGGAGCGAGAATGAGGTTAGAGGGGATTATGGGTTCCTTGGAAGGAGGGATCTGAGCTGCCTGGAGAGAGCATCTGCCTTAGAATTATTTGAGCCAGGACTATAGGTTACCTTGAAAAATAGGGACCATCTTGCCTGCCATGGATCGAGTCGTTTGGCCGATCTGAGGTACTCGAGGTTGCGGTGATCTGTAAGAACAACAAAGGGAAGTTTAGCCCCCTCCAACCAGTGACGCTATTCCTCCAAGGCTGCTTTCATGGCTAGAAGTTCCCGATCTCCTATATCATAGTTATGTTCAGTAGAGTTGAGTTTCTGAGAATAGAAGGCACAGGGGAAGAGTTTGGGAGGATTACCCTGACGCTGAGAGAGTATGGCTCCGATGCCTGTGGTGGATGCATCCTCCTCCAGGATGAACGAATAGGCGGATGGTTTCCGTGTGAAGTATGCCAGTTCAGAGACACAGATCCTTGGTTATGAACTTGACCTGTCCTGTGCCCAAAGGACGTCCATCTAAGGCTGCCACTGCCACCCGGGATTCACATGGAACAAGAGGGAGATTATGAGTATTGGCAAACCTTATGTCAATTAAATTTCCCGCAGCCCCCGAATCTATCAATGCTACGATCTCCGTACATTTACCATTAAATATTAGAGCAATGGGAACTTCTAAACAGTTAATTGAATCAGGAGTGGAACTCACCGAAGCGGAACTTCGAGCGGCAGGACGAGTAGGACAGGAGGCTCTCAGCTGGCCGGATAGACCGCAGTAGCGACAGAGATGATTATGAATTCGTCTCTCTCGTTCCTCATTGGTGAAGCGAGTGAAACCAATCTGCATGGGTTCCGATTCAGAGGAAACTGTGGCCGCTGGAGAATACACAGGAAAGTGGCGAGGGGCACATCGTGCCCGCATTAAATTATCAATGCGGATGGAGAGATCAATGAATTGTTCGAGGGTCCTCCCCTCGTCATGGCAGGCGAGCTCTGACTAAATCGACCGTGAGTAACTGCTCGCCAGGCTCCTTTCCGCCCGCTGAATGCTCGAAAACCTCGCGGAAACGTTTCAGAAAGCAGTCAAATTATGGAAATGACAGCCGTCTTCCCTCCCAAGCACCAGTGGCCCAGTCCAGAGCTCGCCCAGTCAACAAAGAGCACACAAATGAAACCCGACTATCGTCGCTGGGGTATAACTGTGGTTGTTGATTTACAAACATGGAGCATTGTAATAGAAAGCCCTTACATCTTTCCGGTGAGCCGTCAAATTTCTTGGGAAAAGCCAGACGTGGGCTGGTCGACGAGTGACTGGGACTGGGAGTAGTTTGTGACGGAACGGATGGAGGAATGTTGGGCTCAGGCATGGTGACGCGAAGGGCTTGTAGCGTCCTCACCATCTCCTCCGTGAGCGAGGTGAGTCGTTGCAGCTGTTGTTGATGAGACGCTAACATGGAGGCCTGGGCAGGAACCTCGGTGGTGAGCTGATAAAGAGCTGCTGGATCAGTGTTTGGCGAAGTCTTCTGTAATGAGGGGTCAGAGGCGTGCGGATCCATTTGCAGCTTTTATTAGAATCAATGGCAGAGTCAAACAGGCAGTAATCAATCATCAGCATCAGGAACAACATGGACAATCCAGGAGAGTAAACAGTAACAGAGCGAGGGTCAGGGCAGGCGGCAGAGAATCACACTAGTAAGACCAGTCCAAGGTAATACACAAGAGATCAAAAGACAAGGGATAAACGCTCAGAAATGTAGCCGTGGCAAAACAAGGAAAACTAAGAGTCTGGAAGCTGCTTAAATGGGGAAGCTAAGGGGAAACACCTGTGCCAGTAATCAGTCCCGGGTATGGGGTGTATGGGAAATGGAGTCCAAGAACGCTAGTACTCAGGAGAGGGTGCCCTCCGGAGGCGGTCGGAGAGCCACAGAGGTCTGATTTGTGACAGAGCCCCCCCTGCAAGCGGCTCCTAAAGCGAGGAGGTGCACGACGCCGAGGCCTTCCACGGGAGCGAGGGGCTGGTTTGTGAGGGTGGGTTCTATGGAATTCAGCAGTGAGTGAATGGTCCAGGATATCCTGAGCATTAACCCACGATCTTTCCTCAGGACCATACCCCTCCCAGTCATTGAGGTATTGAAGTAACCTGCCCCGGCATCGGGAGTCCAGGATTTCCTGTACCTGGTACGCCTCCTAGCAGTCCACGATGATGGGAGGGGGACTCTCGTTCACGGCCTCCTCCTTGTCCCTCTCTCCTCTCGGACAACCGGCGGGCTTAAGCAGAGAAAAATGAAAGGTGGGTGAGATACGATAACTTGAGGGAAGAGCCAAACGGTAAGATACAGGTGTGATTTGTCTAATGATTTTGAATGGACCCACGTACCTGGGACTCAACTTCTTGCACGGGAGCCGAAGGCGAAGGTGTCTTGTGGAGAGCCAGACCCATTGTCCTGGGGTGTAAGCGGGACCTGACCTCCTGTGATGGTCGGCATGTTCCTTGACCCTGCGGATGGCGCGTTGGAGGTGCACATGAGCAATATTCCATGTCTCTTCACTTCTTTTGAGCCAGTCGTTGATGGCAGGGAGCTATGAGGGTTCTCCGGACCAGGGAAACAGGGGTGGTTGGAAACCGAGTACACATTGAAAACTAAGAGACTGGAGGGATCTGAGCCCCTCTCAGCCTGACTGCCTGCTTATCTGTGTTATTAACAGCCTTCATTACAACAGCTTCTGAGAGCGCAAGAAACAGTGTGAATTACACCGTAACAAGAGGAGAGAGAGAAAGACGATGGAGGAGGAGAAAAAAACAACCAGGATTTAAATGTTGAAGTTGCTTTGTTTATAATAATCAAAACTGATTAATTAAAGAACTTTACAGCAACTTAATATTTTAATTATGATATAATATTTCAATTCTTAATGATCAACCAAGCTGAACTTCCCAGTAGAAATCAATGCTTCAAATACCCTTTCTCTCTTCAAAGACAACATAAAATTAAAATACTATTTACGTTCTAATAAATGTCCCTGGTCTAACAGGGAATGATTGATCAGTGCATGTTATTCATAAGAAAAAATGGTTTAATCAAAATGTAGTAAATTTCTCCAGACCTGAAACCTGAAGACCTTATTTTTTGTGTTACCAAGGCCGCAAGTTGGAGGAAAACAATATCAACCAACCAGATTTTTATATTTTCTGGAGAAAACATGAGTGATTCTTGCCCTTGTAAAACTCGCCCCCACGATGTAAGAGTAAAACAGGCTCCAATTTTCTCACTCTCTGCGTATGAGACTGCACCAATTCTCACCAATCACAATATAATAACCATCAGCCTGAAATTAAACTGTAAATGAAAATCAATCAGTACATTAAATTGAGACAGATTATTCACTTAATAAAATTGACATTTAATACAAAATAATTATAATCAAACATATCTCAAAAAAGACAAAACCCAATACGTGAGTTTCTGCTAGGGTGTTGCTATGTAGCTTCTAAAGTATTTTGAGTGGTTTCGGCATGTTGTTTTGCAATTGCTAGGGTGTTGTGAGTGTTTGCTAGGGCATCTCCAGGTAACTGCTTACTGGCATAAGTTAAAAAAATAATGACCACCTCCAAGTTTCTATGACATTCTGGAACCTAGATATGGGTCCCTCCTGCAATGATTTTGTATGTCTTTGTAGCATTTTAATTTAAAATAAAGTTTTACTATATTAATAATAATATAGAATAATATACAATTTTATATATAGAATTTTAAAATATTAATAATATATCAATTTAAATATGTTTAAGTCATCCTGCTGCTGTAAAAAAAAAAAAAGATTTTTCAAAGCTGTAAATAAAACAAAGATTATTTGAATACATTTTACAAGTAAATACTTTTCAGTCTTTATACTTCAAAATGTCATGTTCAATTCATTGCCATTTCTTGGTAATTAATTGTGAGGTTTACTAGGAATTTCTGAGTACACCAAATGTTTTTCAGCGTAGCTGAAAAGAGAACTCTAAGAACCACATTTCAAAATTCTCTGTGGATTTTAAACATGATGCTCAAAGTCCAATAGGTGCTGGACCAAACCTCTGTCCTCATTTAGCAGAATAGTTTTTATAAAAGCCCTTCTGCTTCTCTTCACCTACTTAATAGGCTCTGCAGGGTCAGCTCTCTTGGCTCGCTTTTCAGCTGATAGTTGCTCCCATTTAAAATGTAAACTCCAGTCGAAGCCTGCAGCAGAGATAGAGGGAAGAAATTCAGAGAGATAAATGAAGATCTTTTTGCTCTAATTTCTTGTAACTTTCATTTTTTTAATAAGTCATAATTATACATCGCAGTGGCGGTTATAATTAAAGTGTTCTGCCGATGACAGGCCAAGGCTTACATCACAGCTAATTGTTAGATTTGTTTCTGTGTGACACTGCTGATTGGGGACTGTGACCGACGCCCCTTGATGTCGGCAGTGGGACAGCGAATGAAGAATTATAATTGCAGCTTTTACCTCCTCGCAAGTCTGAGGAAGCGGCGACATAGGCAAACGTGTCCATATTAATGATGTCAATCACAGGGCTGGCGACACAGGTCGGTTCCTGAAAAATTTAAATATTACAAAATGAGACAAAAGAGCATAAGAGATTTAATAAGAAATGTGAACAGCTCGACTCTCTGTCTGTTCAGCTTGATTTCACAACAAAGGAGGTGGAAAATCAGCGAGCACTGGGATTATCTGTTACTAAGAGCGAGTGAATGTGCACACACTCTCATCCAACATCATTACACCAGACTCTCTGACCTCATCGCTCAACTCTTTAAAGCCACACAATACCGTCTTGCTGAAAGAAAAGAATACTTGAGATGTGTCAGCACTACTGGGTTTTCAAACTACTTCAACTTGCCTGTGAAATGCATTTTGAAAAATTTGATTTTGTGAATTTTTTTTCTAGGTAAAAAAAAAACTTTTGAGTTAATGTCAGTAATGATTGTGAATAAAATAAAAATTTTTGGTGGTGTAAAAGATCTTTTTATTTTTTACGATGTGTGCTGCTAGCAGTTTTATATGCACAAAATATGTCAAATAAAAATGTTTTAATTGATTTTTTTTCTCCAAAATATTTATTTAATTGAAATCTGCTGCTAAAATATGTTAAATGAGTTCTGCTAGCAGACAGAATAAAGCATCAGAATATTCATGCATGTGCTTGGCAAGCGGTGCTGCATTCAGTGCCGCCTCCGTTCTGCCTGCTGACTCTCTCCTATTCATAATGAACTGAAAAAGGAGACAATTCCACAGAATCCAGGTAGAAGTGCTCAACAGCACAACAGTTGTAAAACTGTACCTCTTTGACCCTCTGCAGCAGTGGAGGCAGCCAATCTTTGTTGACCTCACAGTGACTGTCCAAAAAGGTCAGAATCCCGGCTCCTGCAGCGTCAGCTCCTCGAACCCTGGACCGGATCAGTCCTACGACACACACACACACACACATAGATAGATCAGAGACACGGAAGAATTCACTGTCCATCAGAGCTGCACATTACATCTGTTGAGAAGCCTGTTAAACTGACAAATATTCTCATCTCAGCAATCTCATTCACAGAAAAAGATATGAGAACAGCCATTTAAATCTGATTAGTTGAAGGAACAATTAAAGCCTTATGGTTATTATCGAAATCAGAGCAAGAAGCTTTTCCATGAAGGCAAAGCTATTAAATCGGTAGAGCCTGACTGAAGATGCATAATAATTGTAAACGTGCAAGACTCGTGCAAAGTTTCATGCTGCACAGCAACTTCAGCCAATTAAAAATCCCATTTCATCCTCAATAAGGCTGTATTTTCCAGATGGGTGAGCACACCCTCTACAGAGTTGTTGAGAGCGGGATGTGTTTGTGTGTGCATGCATATTGGGCTGGTGTGGCCCCTCTGTGTATGCGCTGGGCAGATGGAGAAGGAAGAGAGAGTGAGAAAGACAGACAATGAAAGAGAGAGTGAGTGAATGGCAGAGATTACATTCACCTACAGCTAACAGAGTTAACAAAGCAGAACCGCACACCCTGTTTGTAGCTCCGGGATGACAATAGAGTTTAAATGCCTTTTAAACAATTTTCTCTTGTACAGAGTTGGCTGCACAGGGGTTTTATGCATTAATGAATGCTGTCTAAGCGACAATGTGTGACAGTGTGTAATGGAACCTCAAAGCGTTGGAATAAACGGGGAGGGGGCAGCTACTGGCTGATCATTACTAATAAGAACTTTGAATTTTTCTTGGTAATGATGACTGAACATTACATTATTATTTTAATTAATACTATCATTATTATTGGTGCTTGTTTATACTTTGGTTTAGGGAACAAACCCTAAGCCCTGATATTAAACTTTTGTGCATAACTAGCAAGGGACATGACTGATTAGCTCATTTGCTGCTTATTTAGAAGAGTTGTGCTATTACTTTTTTAAGCGATTGGACTTCGCCTGGCAGATGACGAAATTAGCAAATTTAGCTAATTAGCAAACAACAGAATTAAAATGCAGGAAGGAATCAAGCCTTATCTAGGGAGCAGAATATCATAGAGACTTTGATAGTGGACTTTTGACCACATAGCAAACCCTCAGAACCAGCGTTGTTACCTAAAACTATTAAACATTGTTCATGGTAATTAAAATAAAGCTGGAATAAAATAAAATAAAATAAAAATATTAGAAGAAAAAACTTGAACTTAAAAATTTCAGAAAACAAAAATTAAAAATGTTGCCTTGGCAACTAACTGAAGAAAGAACTGAATAAGTTTATAAATAACTATGAAAATAATTACAAATAAAACTAAAACAATTATAAAAAATTAAAGCTATATAGAAATATTAAAAAATGACAAAAATATATAACAAACTACTAAAGCTTTAACTAAAATAAAACCTAAAAATATAAAAATAATGAAAAAGCTCAAAATACTTAATAAATTTAATAAATTAATAAATACCATAATAGTATATAAATAACAACACCCTGCATTCATCCATAACACTGTGAAGAGTCGTATTGTTGCACAACGACCATGAGTTTTGAACGAGGAAGCCTTACTCATATTACCTTCAGAATGTATGAAAATCCAGTTATTAAAGTCTGAATGCATTTTGTCCCAGTGACATTAACAGCATAGTGATAATAAACTAAATGAGAAATTTAAATACAAATTGGACATGGAAATGTATGTAAAGCTTGACCTGTTTAATTTACCAAAAAGGTAACCAGCCATAAAGATGAATTAACCTTTCAACATCCAATCATGCTAATGGGATTTCATTAAATATTAAGTGGGCATTTTAAACAAAGTCAATCTCTAAGGGCTCAGGACAGCTATTCTGAACAATATCTGACAGAAAATTTGCCACAGGCTGTACAGCAAGTGGAAAAATCAATATTTGCTATAACGGTTTAAGACCAATGTTTTCAGTTAGATGCACACCAAAATGCTCTGCTTATAAATGGATTTTTAAATTGTTTTTTTTTTTTATCATGAGTGTAAATCTACGTCTATGCGAGCTGTTTGCAAACTAATCTATACTCCGTCACCCTCTAGATCCAATCTATCTGTTCAGCCGAACGGAAAGATACGGATGACAGTACGAGTGCATGGCAGCGAAGGATTTTCACCTGTGCAACCAGTACATGTAAGGAAGTGTGAAACACTGGACAGTTTCAGTCAATGTGCAGTAATCTTCCTCACAGTCTGTTCACCATCACCCTCGCAGTAACACACCACCTGCTGTTAAAACACTCACCAGCACATGGGCGAAAAGCAAACAGCTGCTTTTAGAGTCTGGATGGTATTACAAACAGGCATGTTGCCAGCCCAAAACGAAATATTTAATTCATAGGGAGAGGGAGAGAGTGACAGAGACGTCATCACTGGCCTACCTTCTCTGCGTTTATTGCGAAGACACTTTACTTTGGGCAACTTGGTGAGAAGAAGGCAGTCATTTGCTGAAAGGGAAAAAATATATTTATATGTATTTATTTATTTTAAATATTTATCAAATATATTACTTAAGAGTGCATTTATGACATTAGAATGTGAATTTTTACTTTTTCTAACATAGAAATTCAAATATGCTATAATGCACAATACTCACGATCTTCGCTGAAATCGTCTACCAGTATGAGCTCGTGAATCAGATGCACAGGAGTCCGATTCAACACACTGAAGAGAAACAGAATTAAAACTGTTAGAACTGCTGTACAGCAAAAAAATTTTAATGAATGTTTTTAGGCTGTAGGCTATAAAATGAATCTTTCTTGAGGTCTATATCAGTATTATTGTTAACTAAAACTAACAAATTGTTTTCTGCAACTGAAATAAAATAAAATATTAGATTAAAAACGTAAACATAAAATACTTAAATGAAAATTAGAAATGCTAATTTGGCAACTAACAAAAATAAATAAAAGTACTGCAATTTACAAAAATAAAAGTGAAATAAAAATGAATTAAAGCTAAATATACATATTTAAAAAAAACTAATAAAAATAACAAAAGCATATAACAAAATTACTAAAACTTAAACAGAAACTAAAATGAAAACTTAAATGATAAAAAAATCTAAATATTAATAAACACTATAATTGTATATAAATAATACTAAAATACCACGTGCCTACATATATGTATATTCATACACATTTTTATTTAAAATAAAATAACTATTAGCAAGGAAAAAAATATATCAAGTACTTATCAAGTGCCCCTATTATGCCATTTTTTAAGGTTCCTAATATTTTTTGGGGAGTTTCTTACAAAAGGTTTACATGCATGCAAGGTCAAAAAACGCTTTCGTTTTCTCAAAATATGCATTAAATATCACCTAATTTTCCAACAATTCTCAAACGATTTGTTTGAAGCAGTGGTGTAGCCACAGGTGTGTCAGGGTGTGCCGGTGCCACCCACAGCGGCAGCTGGCACACCTAAAAGTAGATGCAGAATTATTGTTTTTAGTTTTAATAAAAAAAAAAAATTCTAAACTTGTGCTATTGTTGTTTACTTGCAATATTTGTTCATTTAAAATGTAATACATTTTTTTTATTATTTTCGTAAAAAAAATATATCTGCCAATGTTCGGACTGCCAACCAATCCGCAAACAGCCGCTGACTGTGACCCCAGCATCTTGGGAGACGTTTGTCACGCATTCTAAACAGTAGAGAATCTTTGACTGAACCTTGCTGTCGCAGAGCTCCCTGCTTAATTTCTTTAGAAAAAACCTCGGCTTGATGGACAGCCGGACACAAGGCCTAATGTTACACCTGATGAGGATGTTTCTCCCTCCCCGGGCCCGGCAGCAACAGGTGCGACTTCTCCGGCACAGCTGGCTGCGGAAAAAACTGCTGAATCAGAAGACACCGAAATGGCAAAAGTCTACTCATGTGATAAAGACGTATATAAATATAAATACGTATAATATAGTTATGTTTTATAGTTTTATGTATAGTATAGTTTTATGGTTATGTGACGAGCCTGAGTATAGTTTTACACATCAGCCCAGTCTATTCTGTAATGCTAGTCACAGTTTTTTTGCACATTAATCTGACAAAAAATGTGGCACACCCAGTTATTCTGATGCACACCTCAAGTGTCTCCTCCTTAATTGATTTTATAAATAAAACTTATTGACAATTTATATAGTAAGTTAGCATAAAATCTCTGCTACCCTTGGATGCAAATTATGCAACATAGCTGCTTGCCATTCATCACATTGACACAAGAATGTTAAAAGTTTTTCAAGGCCCTTCTGACAAATCAATTCACGTCCTTTCTCATCCATTTCCTGAACTGCTTCTTTTTAGTCTACAGTAGGAATTGCTCATCTTCAGACAGGAGGAAATAGTGCCTCTGTTGCATGGACATCGCCAAGGTCTGTTCTGACCTTCCCTATACCTGAGGGGTTAAGAAAAAGCAAACAGCCTCTCCGCATACCTCCTCTCACATCTCTCTCGCTCGCTCTCCTTTGCCTGATAAGTTGCCGCAAGGAGAGTCTGAGGAAACCAGGAAATGCTCCAGAAAGTTATCTTCCACCTCTTAGGACTCCCTTGTAGTAATAACATCTGTCGGCAGCAACACCCATTAAAAACTGCCTGGGGCCTACACTTCAAACCCACTCTGTGTAAATGCTTAGTCTATGAGAGCGTTCATGTGAAGAGATGTTTGTGTGTGTTCATGTGCATGAGAGAATCCCCACATAGGGAAAAGGTCATAGAAAGATAAGGTTTAATACTGCTTTGCCATCAAGGAGCTTATCTACAGGATATGTCAACAGGATATTTTGACATTATTATCGGTGCTGTTGTTAAATGGCTGGTAACTTTAACAAAGGTTCAGGGTTAAAGCAGGGCAGAAGTAATTTTTGCTGTGTATGGGAGCTGCCGTAACTAATGTGTGATGAGTGTAGTTTAGATTCCACACACTCCAGGGCGAAACACCTCACACCACATCCCTTCACCACAGCCTCAGGAGCCAAACTGCACCTGGATACTGTTAATGCTCCAAAAGCAGTTTTTGGCTGAATCTAACAAAAACACACCTGAGTCATATATTTCATCCCAAAATGTTATTTTATTTTACATTTATTTTAATTTTCATATTATTATTAGAATACAGAAAAATGCGTGAATACTGCACTGACACTTTAGGTGCTTTTTTTTTGTTAATGGTGTTAATTTGTGTCCTTTCTCATGGCTCAATTAAAGTAAAAGCAAACCATCTAAAAAAAGAGTGAACTCTCGACAGAATTGTGACACAATGCAATGTGTATTTTATCATAAGGTATTTGGCAACACCCATCCCTAATATTTCTAGAACCACTAAAGGGGGGGGGAGGGGGTCTAATGCTATTTCATGCATTCTGAGTTATTTACACTGTTAAAGAGTTGGATTCTCATGCTAAACATGGCTAAAGTTTCAAAAAACAAGTTGGATGTATGACAGAGTATTTCTGTGCCAAATACACTCCTTCACAGTTTGTATAAGTTTCGGAAAGTTTTTTTAAAGTATAGCTCTTCATGACGTCATGAAGGGCGGAATTCCTTGTATGGGCACTTCTTCCGGAAGGGCGCGCGCACACATCAACCAGAGCGAGAGCAAAAGCACTCCCATCAACATTCTTCATTCCCGTTATGGAAGTCGTCAGCAGTGCTGCACAAGACTTGCTCGAGAAGAATGTCTTCAAAGAAGTTTTTGGTTGTGAGGGAAAGATACCCTTGTTCAGCTTCCCAAAGAACCCAGTGTTATGGGAACAGTGGATGCAGTTTTTTTTTTCTGGGCAGCAACGGAGTTGTGCACGTGTGTTTGTATTTTCCTGTCATTTCAGTGACTAATGTATTATTAACAAGGGCCAGTTCGAAGCTGGATTTGCAGATCATTTGATACTGAAAGATGGAGCGATAAAAGATCCTGGTCATGAGTCGGAACCGTAGGCGGTAAGTAAAACTGCATCAAATTTCTGTGTTTTGTTGACAATCGACGCGTAGGTGCATATAATGTAAACAACACGAACGTGTGTGTGACACTTTAGCTCCGCCCACGGCACGCCTCCAAGAGCTCAGCTGTTTTTGGAAAGAATCATAAAGCTGTATATTTCGTTTATAAATGTGATGAAACTAAAGACTCTTTGGAGATATGAAGGATGAAATACTACTCTATTGGTACTCAAGTTTGACAATGCCCATCATCACTCAGTAGATCAAACAAAAGAATTTCAGTGTCTTGACCTGTGTGAGTAAATTTTCAGTGACTGTCAGGCTCTGTAATCGATATTTACACCTGAATAAATTACATCCATTTACTTTTTCATAACAGTCTCCTTGAAATGTAAAAAATGTCCATGGGTGCTCAGCATAATGGCTTCATATCATTGCAGATATCTATTGATTGTAGTTGCGAACACTGTATTGATTTACAAATTCACCATTTCACCATTGCCGTGTTGGCTATTTGAATGTCATTATACAGCAGCCATCACTCACTGAATTACAGTAACATTTCACTCATAAATGGCTGTAAAAGGGGCCAGTCCCTGACTACATTCATTGAGAAATGAAGGTAGATTTACAACAATAAATGTCTGTCAAATGTGGATATCTAAGAAAGCATAAAATGATCTCAGACCAAATATGAAGTTTAAATGGGTCATATCATACATTTTTTATATATAAAAAAAAATTCCCCTGGGATGCACTTATAGTGTTAGAATGCAACTGGATTTAC